GCCAGCCGTGCCTGTGAAACAGGCGGGATCGAGAGCAGGGCCTCCCCGGAAGATCTCAAAGTCCTGGCGGGCTCGTAGGTCGAGATGCGGTCGGATAGGTATCTTGGGCCGGAACTGTTTAAGGCTTTATAGGCCAACGCCAGCACCTTGAATTGAGCCCGGTAGCAGATCGTTATAGTTTCCCCTGTAATAGGCAGTAAGAGCACCTAGAGCTTTGGAGAGCTTCTGTTCAACCATCTCAACCCTCCCTGCTTGAGCAGTAATTGCACGATCGTCAGCATAGATGAAACTCTCTGTCCCTTCTGGCAGTGGCAGGACATTTGTGTAAATGTTGAACATGAATGGAGCAAGCATGTTCCCCTGAGGCAGGCCGTTCTTCTGTTTCCGCCAACTGCTTCTCTGGGCCTGGAACTCAACAAAAAAGCTCCTGTTTTGTAGCAGGTTTCCTATCAGACGGGTGAGATGGTAGTCCTTTGTGATATTATACATTTTTCTCAGGAGGAGGCGGTGGTTCACAGTATCATAAGCCGCTGACAGGTCTATGAAGACAGCTCCTGTGATCTGTTGCCTTTCAAAGCCATCTTCTATGTGCTGAGTCAGGTTCTGCACTTGCAATGTGCAGCTTTTGCCTTTCCCGAAGTGTTAGATGGGGCCTCAGGTCTCTTTCTCACTGCCATATACAAGCCAGAGTACTGTTCCATTATCCAGGAGGAGGCCACAAGGGGGCGCTAGGCATAGAGGATAGTCCAGGCATGGACAAACTTGGTCCCAAAACTTGAGCATTTGGATTTCAACTCCCACTTTCCTCACAGCTTCAGGCCCCTTCCTTTTCCCCCTCAGCTGCTCAATCAGAAAAGCAAAAGCAAAACAAAGGGCTTGAGGCTGTTAGGAATGGTGGGAGCTGAAGTCCAAAACATCTGGAGCCCCCCCTCCCCATACAATGGACTATCCTTCTCTGTCTTGCCCCTTTTATTTATTTATTTATCGTATATACTCGAGTATAAGCCGACCCGAATATAAGCCGAGGCACCTAATTTTACCACAAAAAACTGAGAAAACAGATTGACTCGAGTATAAGCCGAGGGTGGGAAATGCAGCAGCTACCGGTAAATTGCAAAATAAAAATAGATACTAATTAAATTACATTAATTGAGGAATCAGTAGGTTATATATTTTGGAATATTTCCAAAAATGGTAATTTAAGATAAGACTGTCCAACTCTGATTAAATGATTATTTACCTTCTTCAGTGTAAATGTGCTTACTTATCCTTCCAATAATAATAAAGAGAGTAACATAATAAATGTAACAACAACAACACTAAAAAGAGTAAAATAATGAATGTAGCGATAACGACAATTATACAGTAAAATATAAATGTATAATAATAGAGTAAAATGATAAATGTAATAATAATAAATAGAATAAAATAATCAATGAAATGAAAATAATAACAGTAAAATGATAAATAACCTTGACTCGAGTATAAGCCAAGGAGGACTTTTTCACCCTAAAAAAAGGGCTGAAAAATTAGGCTTATACTCGAGTATATGCAGTATTTATTTACTGCATTTATATTCCACCTTTCTCACCCCAAAGTGGACTCACGACGGCTCACAAAAAAGGCACAATTCGATGTCATATATACATATAGGATAAAACAAAGATATACATTAAAAACAAATAATTAAAGCATATCAGTCTTAAAACAATTAATTAAAACCACGCAATCCAAAGGCATATTCCAGGAGTCATTCCAATTGTCAGTTGCATTTCTTTTGAAGTCTGCCAGATAATGGAACAGTCCCAAATCCAGATTATGTGCTTTGAACAGGATTATATAGCTGTGTGGACTCATAGAATCCAGTTCAAAGCATACCATGTGGATTAGCTGGTCTGATCGTTTGGATTTTACTTACTTAGGTAATCCCTCGTTGTCCGAGTATGATGGCTTTCCAAGTTCGGTGTCCTGGCGGTGTGTACGTGGAGCCCTATTCTTGATCTGCATCGTCTCCCGTAATGAGGGCATCGGTTTCCAGGTGGAAGGCGGTCCTGGTCGGGGTTGGCTTGATGCACCTTCCCCTTGGTACGTTTCTCTCTTTCGCCCTCCATTCGTGCTTCTTCAAATTTTACAGCACTGCTGGTCACAGCTGACCTCAAGGCCCAGGGCTTCCCAGTTCTCAGTGTTTATGCCATAGTTTTTAAGTTTGGCTTTGAGCCCATCTATACATCTTTTTTCCTGTCCACCAACATTCCATTTCCTGTTCTTGAGTTTGGAGTAGAGTAACTGCTTTGGGAGATGGGGATCGGGCATTCAGACAATGTGTGTGGTCCAGCAGAGTTGATGGCAGAGGGCCATTGCTTCAATGCTGCTGGTCTTTACTTCCAGCACACTGATATTTGTCCCAATTTTCCCAAAACATTTGCAGGATTTTTCAGAGGCAGCGCTGATGGAATTATTCCAGGAGTTAAGTGTGACGCCTGTAGACAGTCCACGTTTCTCAGGTGTATAACAGGATTGGGAGGACAATAGCTTTATAAACAAGCACCTTGGTCTCCCTATGGATGTCCCAGTCCTCAAACACTCTCTGCTTCATTAGGAAGAATGTTGCATTCACAGAGCTCAGGCAGTGTTGTATTTGAGTGTCAATGTTGACTTTTGTGGAGAGGTGGCTGCCAAGGTAGCAGAAATTGTGAACATTTTCTAATGTTACACCATTAAGCTGTATTTCTGGCATTGGAGAGGGATTGGCTGGTGACTGCTGCAAGAGCACTTTGGTTTTCTCGATGTTCAATGACAGACCAAGCTTCTCATATGGTTCTGTGAAGGTGTTTAGAGTGGTTTGTAGGTTTTTTTCTGAATGTGCACAGAAGTTGTTGTCATCAACATACTGGAGATGGTGAAGCTGGGAGACACCTGCTTGGACCCCTGGTCTTTGACCTGTGGGGTCCCGCAAGGCTATATTTTGTCGCCCATGCTTTTTAACATCTACATGAAACCGCTGGGAGAGGTCATCCGGAGTTTTGGAGTTAGGTGCCATCTCTACGCAGATGACATGCAACTCTACTACTCTACTACTCAATCTAAAAATGATACTACTCATTTCCACCTAAATCCAAGGAGGCCTCTTGGGTGCTGGACGAGTGCCTGGCCGCTGTGGCTATCTGGATGAGGGAGAACAAGCTGAAGATCAATCCCGACAAGACAGAGGTCCTCCTGGTCAACTGTAAACCAGACCAGGGTATAGGGTGGCAACCTGTGCTGGACGGGGTTACACTCCCTCTGAAGTCACAGGTCTGCAGCTTGGGAGTCCTCTTGGATTCATCACTTACGTTTGAGGCTCAGGTGTTGGCGGTGTCCGGGAGGGCTTTTGCACAACTAAGACTTGTGCGCCAGCTGTGACCATACCTTGCAAAGGTTGATCTGGCCGGGGTGGTCCATGCCTTAGTCACCTCTAGGTTGGATTACTGTAATGTTAAGTTCCAACCTCCAGCACTACGTCCCAGAAGCACTTTATTAGAGCTCAAGACTCTCTGCACATTTTACTTGCCCAGAATCCCAACATATCACCTCTTACACCCAGCACTTTTTAACCTGTACCCTTCATTGGCCCGGCCCTGGTTTTATTGCGTAATAGTGTAATGTTCTGTTTCTGTTATTGCTTATTTTTTTAATTTGCTTGCATTGTATTGTTATTGTCTGTTGTTGTTGTGTTGAGGCCTTGGACTGTGTAAGCCGCATCGAGTCCTTTGGGAGATGCTAGCGGGGTACAAATAAAGTTTAATAATAATAATAATAATAATAATAATAGTGTCAAATTGGTCCAGTGAATGAAAATAAATCCTGCATATCAGATATTTGCATTACAATTCTAAATAGTAGTAAAATTAAAAGGGTTGTTGTAGGTTTTTTTCGGGCTATATGGCCATGGTCTAGTGGCATTCTCTCCTGACGTTTCGCCTTCATCTATGGCAGGCGAAAGGTGTTGGAACTAGGCAAAAGGGTTTATATATCTGTGGAATGACCAGGGTGGGACAAAGGACTCTTGTCTGCCGGAGCTAGGTGTGAATGTGTGATTCCGGCCATGAAAGCCTTCGACAATATAGTAAAATTATAGTTATGAAGTAGCAGCGAAACTTTCTCATAACTTTATTTTCCAGATCATCAGACTGGGCCACAGCAATGCGTGGCAGGGGACTTGCTAGTACAATAATAAATGAGGAGAGGATGCATTCAGTTTGTCTATGGGGTGGACGACTGGGAAAAAGAAATGGGGGGAAGGCTTTCGTGAGAAGATGCACCGTTAATCTGCTTCTAGTTAGTTAAATGAACTCTCATAAGAGAGACTAAGCTGTTGGAACTGAGAGATTGTCATTGTGTGAAAGTCAGCAATGGCTGACTAAAGTGGGGATGTTGTGCAACAAAGGCATAGGTACGTACATACATGGTTTCATTATGTGCAAAATCATCAGCTGTTGACTGTGCAACAAATACATATGCATGGTTCATCATGCAATCAAACTACAAGAAAGGAGAATCCATCAGAACATGAGGAAGAACTTCCTGACTGTGAGAGCTGTTCAGCAGTGGAACTCTCTGCCCCGGAGTGTGGTGAAGGCTCCTTCTTTGGAAGCTTTTAAACAGAGGCTGGATGGCCATCTGTCAGGGGTGATTTGAATGCAATATTCCTGCTTCTTGGCAGAATGGGGTTGGACTGGATGGCCCATGAGGTCTCTTCCAACTCTTTGATTCTATGAGGAACTGTATTAAGGCGTCAGGGCATTAGGAAGGTTGAGAACCACTGGCCTGAGTAATTCGGGGAGGGGGCGTGCCCTTGCGTTTCCCCGCCCATTCCCTTGTGGCTCCGCCCCTCCCTCCCTCCCTTCGGCGGCGGAACAAAGCGCGGGCCCCATGGCCGCCAACACCGCCTCCTCCTCCTCTCCGTCTGAGCCGAGGGCCGGGCTGCTGCCTCGCCTCCTCCCTCCTCCTCCTCCTGCTGGGTTTGGGCGAGGGGGCGGGCAGTGAGGGCGAAGGGGCGGCGCCTGCTGTCCGGGGCACAAAAGCAGGCTGGCCTGCCCGGCTGGGAGGGAGGGACGGGCTGCCCGGCCGGCCTGGGCATGGCTGCGCGGGGCCGGCGCTCCTGGCTGCTGGCGCTCCTGCTCGGGCTCGTGCTGGGCTTCCTCCTCGCCTCGCGACTCCTCCCGGCCCGCACCGCCCCCGGCCTCTCCACCGCCGCCCGCCTCCACGCCCGGACGGGGGCCGCCGGGCGGGGGAGCCTCTGCCGGGGAGGGAAGGGCGGAGGGGGGAGAGAAGGGGGAAGAGGAGGAGGAGGAGGGGCGCCGCGGGACGGGCCCCACCCCGACCGCCCCCCCGGGTCGCCCCCTCCCCCCGGCCAACCCGGAGCCGGATTCCTCTTCGTCGGGGTCATGACCGCACAGAAGTACCTGCGCAGCCGAGCCATGGCCGCCTCCAGGTGAGCGCCCCCTCCCCAACTGCCCTCCTCCTCCTCCTCTTCGCTCTTTCTTTCCCTCCTGACGCCCCTCCTTTCCACCCCCCTTCCTTCCTTCCTTCCTTCCTTCCTTCCTTCCTTCCTTCCTTCCTTCCTTCCTTCCTTCCTTCCTTCCTTCCTTCCTTCCTTCCTTTGTTAAACAAAACTAATAATAATAATAATAATCCCTTTTCCTTCCTTCCTTCCCCCCCCCCCCCCCCCGCCGCGACAAGGCACACCCCTTTAGTGGAGACGTGGGCAGGAGCGGCCCCTTGCTTGCTTGCATGCCTGCCTTCCCTCCTTCCCTCCCTCCTTCCTTTCCTTCCTTCCGTCCTTCCCTCCTTCCTTTCTCCCCACCTCCTTCCCTCCCTCCTTCCTTCCCTCCCTCCTTCCCTCCTCCTTCCTTCCTCCCTCCTTCTCCTTCTTCCTCCTTCCTCCCTCCCTCCTTCCTCCTCCCTTCCTTCCTTCTTCTTCCTTCCCTCCTTCCTTCCCTCCCTCCTCCTTCCCTCCCTCCCTTCCTCCTCCCTTTCTTCCCTTCCCTTCCTTTCCCTTTCCTCCCTCCCTTCCTTTCTCTCCCTTCCCCCTTTCCTTCCCTTCTTTCCCTCCTCTCTTCCTCCCCCTTTCCTTCCTCCTTCCCTTCTTCCTTCCCTCCTTCCCTTCCTTCCCTCCCTTCCCTTCCCTCCCTTCTTCCTTCCCTTCTTTCCCTTCTTTCCTTCCTCCTCCTTCCCTTCCTTCCCTCTCTCCCCTTCCCTCCTTCCCTTCCTTCCTTCTCTTTCCCTCCCCTTCTTCCTTCCTTCCCTCCCTTCCCTTTTCCTTCCCTTCCTCCTTCCCTTCCTTTCCCTTCCCTTCCCTTCTTCTTCTTTCCCTCCTTCCCTCCCTTCCTTTCCCTTTTCCTTCCCTTCTTCCTTCCCTTCCTCCCCCTCCCTTTCTTTTTCCTCCTCCTTCCTTCCCTCCCTTCCCTCCCTTCTTCCTTCCTTCACTTCTCTTCCTTCCCTTCCTTCCTTCCCTTCCATCCCTCCCTCCCTCCCTCCCTTTTTTCCTTCCTCCCTCCCTCCCTCCCTCCAAGGTGAGAAGGGGGGCTTGGAGACAAAGGGGGCGGGAAATAGTCCTAAAGTTGGAAGAAACCCCATGGGCCCTGCAGGAAAGGCACACGGGTCTCCTTGGCCTTGGCCAGTGTTTTTTTTTTTTAATGTCATGCCAGGAGCTACTTGAGAAACTGCAAGTTGCTTCTGGTGTGAGAGAATTGGCCGCCTGCAAGGACGTTGCCCAGGGGACATTGCCTGGATGATGTGATGTTTTTATCATCCTTGTGGGAGGCTTCTCTCATGTCCCCGTTGCATGAGGAGCTGGAGCCCATAGAGCAGTGGTTCTCAACCTTTCTAAGCCATATGAACTTCAGTTGCACATCTGTGGAGAAGGAAAAGGAAGAACTTGAAACTGTGCCAAATGGGGCTGCCTTAGAGGTCTCACTGTTATTAATCATAATATAAATATCTGATATGCAGGATGTATTTTCATTCACTGGACCAAATTGGGCACAAATACGTGATATGCCCCGATTTGAATACTGGTGGGGTTGGCAGGGGATTGATGTTGTCATTTGGGAGTTGTAGTTGCTGGGATTTATAGTTTACCTACAATCAGAGAGCATTCTGAACTCCAACAATCTTGCCACACAGAACTCCCAGGCCATGACCAACAGAAAATACTGGAAGGGTTTGGTGGGCATTGACCTTGAGTTTGGGAGTTGTAGTTCACCTACATCCAGAGAGCACTGTGGACTCAAACAGTGATGGATCTGGACCAAACTTGCCATGAATACTCAACATGCCCAATGTGAATAAACACTGGTGGAGTTTGGGGAAAATAGACCTTGCATTTGAGAGTTTTAGTTGCTGGGATTTATAGTTCACCTACAATAAAAGATCATTCTGATCCCTACCAATGATAGAACTGGGCCAAACTTCCCACATGGAACCCCTATGACCAACAGAAAATACGTTTTTGGATGGTCTTTGGCGACCCCTCTGAAACCCCCTCGTGACCCCCCTAGGGGTCCCGACCCCCAGGTTGAGAACCATTGCGATAGACGCAGCTCATCCACCTCTCCCCAGATTTGAACCAGCGACCTGTTGGTCTTCAGTCCTGCTGGCACAGGGGTTTAACCATTTGGCGAGTGTTGTTACCCCGCATCCCTGCAGAGAGGGGAGGCCTGCTTGGATCCCCTGCCCCCTCCTTCCCATCCAGCTTCGGCCATAGCCCCCCACCCCTCCGCCGTCCTCCGTCCCGTGCCCGAAATAATAAATGCAGCAGAATAATTTGACCCTCAGGGCAAAACATGGGTGTCCCCCTCCCCCTTGAATCAAACTCAACTGTGGTTTGCAAGGACCTTCCAGGCATTGGACCCCGGGCCAGGGTCTTCCATTCGGAGCTGAAGAAGGCACACCAGCCAGGCCTCCTTTGCAAGGGGTCCCTCCCCTTCTTCTCCCCCCTCGCTGCTTTGAGATGACCCCGTGAAAGGTGCCTGGGTGTCTGGATGTAGGTGAACTACAACTCCAAAACTCAAGGTCAATGCCCACCAAACCCTTCTAGTATTTTGTATTGATCATGAGAGTTCTATGTGTCAAGATTGGTTCAGGTCTATCATTGGTGGAATTCATAATGCTCTTTAATTGTAGATGAACTATAAATCCCAGCAACTACAAGTCTGAAATGACAAGACCAGTCCCACCCACCCACTTCAACCTAAATAGTATTCAAATTTGGGCATCAAGCCAATCCCGACCAGGACCTCCTTCCACCTGGAAAGAAGGTGTGGAAGAAGATGCAGATCCAGAAAAGGGCCCACAGTCACTGTGGACTCACCAGTACACTGATCTTGGAAGACTATCCTACTTGGAAAATGAGGGATCGCCTAAGTCAGTGTTTTTCAACCTGGGGGTCGGGACCCCTGGGGGGTCATGAGAAGGTGTTGGGGGGTCGCCAAAGACCATCAGAAATTACAGTATTTTCTGTTGGTTATCTGGGTTCTGTGTGGAAAGTTAGGTCCAATTCTCTTGTTGATGGCAGGCATGTAGCCGGGGGGGGGGGGGCTTGGGGGGCTTTCAGCCCCCCCCCCCCGAAATTCTCATGGTGGTTTGAGAAAAGGCCTTACTGGTGCATTATTTAAACTGTTATGTTTATTCATATCATGATCTGATCACCATACTCAATATATCCCATATGCATGGGGGTTTTGGGGTAACGATACAAAAGGTTTGCTAGGGTAGACCCTCTTTCACTCAGACTCAGCCTCCCCCCCCGAATCAACATCCTGGCTACGGACTGGTGGTGGGGTTCAGAATGCTTTGATTGTAGATGAACTATAAATCCCAGCAACTATTACTCCCAAATGTCAAGGTCTATTTTCCCCAAACTCCACCAGTGTTCACATTTGGGCATATTGAGTATTTGTTCCAAGTTTGGTCCATATCCATCATTGTTTGAGTCCACAGTGTTCTCTGGATGTAGTGAACTACAACTCCAAACTCAAGGTCAATGCCCACCAAACCCTTCTAGTATTTTCTGTTGAGAGTTTTATGTGCCAAGATTCATTTACTGGACCCAATTCAAGGTGCAGGTTCTTACCTACAAAGTCCTGAACGGTTTGGGACCCGCCTACCTGCGTGATCGCATCTCTATGTATCCTACTTGGACAATGAGGGATCACCTAAGTCAGTGTTTCCCCTTTGCAAGGGGTCCCTCCCTTTCTTCTCCCCTCTCTCTGTTTTGGGATGACCCCATGGTGTACACATGTATACAGGCATGTAGCCAGGGGGGCTTGAGGAGCTTCAGCACCCGCCCCCCCCCCGAAATTCTCAGGGTGGTCCGCGAGAAGGCCTTACTGGTACATTATTTAAACTGTTATGTTTATTTATATCATGATCTGATCACCATGGTCAATATACCCCATATGCATGGGGGTATTGGGATGATACAAAAGTTTGCTAGGGTAGATCCTCAAACCCCCCCCACCCACCCCACACACACCCCCCCCCCCCGAATCAAAATACGGGCCTGCCTAGGTGGAAGAGGAAGGCAATCCCCGTACAGTGAGCCAGAGGCACCTGGTCACCTGGGGCTGCACAAATCTCTGCGTCGACCTTTGCTCTAGGTCGTGGCCTTCCTGGCAAAAAACGTAGCCGCAAGCATGCTCTGTTTCTCTTGGAGAGATGAGGGCAGGCGGGCCTCCCTTTCGATTGCCAAAACCCATCAGCACTGCCTTGGTGTACTCATAACATTGGGGAGGGAGTCTCTTTCCCAGCTTTGAAGCCGGTGAGGTAGATCAGCCTGAGAGTCTCCTAGTGCAGGGTGGAACTTGCTTTTGGTTCTGTCTCTTCTTGGTATGGTACCTATACAGAGGCGGTTCTAGGTAATTTTCAACAGTAAGCAAACAGTATTTTGGTGCCCCCCCCCCCACCACCACCAATCACTGATATATATTTTCTGTTCGTCGTGGGAGTTCTGTGTGCCATATTTGTTTCAATTCCATCATTGGTGGAGTTCAGAATGCTCTTTGCTTGTAGGTGAACTATACACCCCAGTAAGTATTATTTATTTATTTACTTACTTACTTTATTTGTATACCGCAGTTTCTCAGCCCGTAGGCGACTCAACGCGGTTAACAACAGCAGGAGCAAAAATTCAATGTTAGCATCATACAAACCATTTAAAAACAGTTAACATAATAATATACTAAGTAATTACACATCAATAAACAACTCAGTAGCATCTCATAACTAGAATTGTGATCCAGCTCGTCACTGCTTATCCAAACACCTGTTCAAATAACCAGGTTTTCACTTTCCTCCGAAATACCATTAATGATTGGGCCGATCTAATGTCCGTAGGAAGGGCGTTCCACAGCCGAGGGGCCACCACTGAGAAGGCCCTGTCCCTCATCCCCACCAAACGTGCCTGTGTTGCAGGCGGGATCGAGAGTAGGG